TTATCAATGGTTTTGGAATATTCAGCCATCTATCCCACCCGAAACGAGCTTTTCGACCATTACCTAGAGACCATCTACTCCCCGCAATTGTCTCTTTCCATACATCTCTAATTGCCCGGAGCACCGTCGAGCCTTGGGGAAACTCAAAGTCCGCACCCATCTCCATGGGTTCAAGCTGATACTTCGCTCGGAGCACTCGACACCACAATAAGCTCGACTTAGTAAGGAAATTCCAAGCCATCTTCATGAGCAGGGCTTTGTTCATAAGCCTTTGCTCTTTCATCACTAAGCCACCCTCTGACTTTGGTCGACAAACGTCAGACCAAGACACTTGACTGATTTTACGGGCCGATGTCGTGCCACCCATATAAAATTCCTACACTTACGTTCCAAACTATCACACACCCCGTACAGCAAAGAGGCTATTCGCATGGAGAAGTAGGGCAACGAAGACAAGACGGACTGGGCTAGAGTCACCCTTCCCGCCATAGAGAGGGTCCAAGCCTTCCATCCCGCAAGACGTTTTTCCGCTTTTTCAAGAAGCTCGACATACGTGGTTTTGTTCACTCTACTATGGATGATAGGCATTCCCAAATATTTCCCCGGGTTGTCAACAGCCTGAAACCCCAGCCGTTGGGCCAGCAACGAGCGGATGTCAACCCCGCAACATTGGAGGAGAAAAAAAGTTGTGTCTTTGGCACACTGACTTTTAATCCCGAGGCCTGACAGAAAACTTGTAAAGTACTCTTCAGAGAGTCGCCTGATCCTGAGTCGCCTCTAAAAACAAGAGCAGGTCATCGGAAAACATGAGATAAGCCATAGAAACGAGTCCTCGCCTCACCTTGATCGGCTTCCACACCCAGAGGCCACTAAACCGTCTATCATATGAGGCAGCCTTTCAATGCAGAGAACAAATAAATAGGCCGAAATTGGATCGCCTTGTCGGACACCTCGAGTGGGAGTGAAATCTTCACTGACACCCCCATTCCACTGCAAGTGCATGGTTGCAGAGGTAACACACGCCATCAGTGCATCAACAAAAACACCCGGCAATCCAACAAGTGCCAAAGACTCACGAATGAAGTCCCAACAAAGTTAGTCATAAGCCTTTTCCAAATCCACCTTCACAGCCATGAACCCTGTCTTCCACGTCGTTCGGCGCTTCGAGTGAATAAGCTCTTGAGCCATAACAATATTGTCAGTGATATGCCTACCAGGGACAAAGCTCGCCTGAGCTGGGTTAATAACCAAAGGAAGCACTGTCTTCATCCGCTCCGCCAGCACTTTTGTCACCAGCTTATAAACAACATTAAGAAGACTAATGGGCCTGAACTGTTTCAAGCACGTCGGATTGTCCACCTTCGGTATCAGCACTAGCAAGGTTGTATTTAAAGACGCAGGAATCCGTCCCCCTCGCCAAATATCACGAATCTGAGTACACACTGAAGGACCAACATGATGCCACTGCTGCTGAAAGAATAAAGCATGAAGACCATCTAACCCAGGAGCTTTCAAAGGTGACATATTTTCCCAGCAGCACTTCTGCATCCGAAATAGCTCTTGCTAAAGATGACTTAAAAAAAAAAACGTTAACTGAACGGCGTGATTCACGGGATCAGATGTGACTAGACATGTCCACGGACCGATCCTATGGGCCAGTTTGTTGAACCGGACCCCCCTAAGGCTAATGGGAAAGCTCCTCATGGGGACTACCATTGGATGAAAGCGTTCTAGATTGATCGGAATATGAATAAAACCGAAAGACCCTTTAACTATTAAAGGGGTTAATAGAATTTTTCAAGCGTGGAAACCGCAGAACCGGAAATAGTAAGATTAATTGTCATAATTAATAATAATAATAAATAGGTCGCAATTGGAAAATTTTTGAATTCAAAAGAAATGTCCTCCTCAGAGAAAGATGTCTCCGACGCCGGCAAGAACTACTTTTTTTATTGTTCTTTTTTGGACCCATAGGGTCGCGGTTCGGTCCCGATTCATAATTTTTTTTTTGACCCGCCGGTTCAGGCCGGGCCGAGCCAGACGACAGGCCACGATGTTATTTTTTTTAAGGCCCGTGACCCACCGGGTCGGTGAACCGGCGATTCAAAATCGGCCCATAATTTATTTTGGGCCAGTCATGGGCCATGATATTGAGGCCCGCCGACCTGCCGGGCCGGGGCCGGCAATTGGCCACCTCTAGATGTGACAAGACAAAGTAAAGCATTCAATATTGGAATATGTACCAGCCGGAAAGCTTTTCTGTATTGTTACTTTCGACGGAATCTTTAGATGAAGCTCCGAGGATCTTACAAAAATATTGTCTCAACTCTCAATGTCTGTAGACTGTAAAGTAGCATTCCTAGTCAAACTCCCGTGACAAAGACCATTCCATGACATTTATATTGTCAAGTCTCATTAATCATTACAAGTAATGATAAAAAAATAATACTCCATAAAGATAAAATAAATACTACCAATACCGCCACTCAATTAGCAGCGTCTAACGCTGATTATTATGGTGCTTTAACAATAGACTGCAAGTTTCCATGTAATAATAATATATATCTTTTATTATAATTTTATTTTATTTATTATTATTATTTTTTTTATATATAATAGATCAAATCAATTAATTTTTTTAATGAATCTTAGATTTTACGTTCTCAATAAATATATACAAAATTACAATTTAAAAATAAAAAAACCAAAATTATTATTAGCATTACCCTAATTAAAAATTCACATTCTGTATTGTACCATAATACTTAAGACTATGGTATTATTTTTGGAAAATGCTACAATCCCATTACGGAACCATTCGGTCGAGATTTGTAACCGGTAGATCATTATGTAACTATCATGAATAGTTGATCTAACGCTTACAAATCCCAACGAAATGGTCGCGTGGAATCTCCCATTATTTTTATATAATCAATTAACTAAATTAAATCAAACATGTATTTTAAGCCAAAAAAATATATAAAAAGAACAGACAAGAAAAGCAAAGATAGCAAACTTACGATAGCATTAAAAGCATAGCGAGTGACGCCATTCCACTTGTCCAAATCATAGGCAGTAAAATGTTTGCAGCAAGCAGAGGCCTGAAGATTCTTCTTAATACTAATCTTCCCCCCAATTCTATCGTTATTATCAAAATCGTCCCCCTGAATTCCCCTCACATATGCCACGGCATACTTTCCAGCGACCAATGGATCCTCGCCAGGTGTCTCCTGCCCTCTCCCCCATCTCGGGTCTCGGAATATGTTAACGTTTGGCGCCCAAAACGTCAGCCCTTTTGTCTGCCCTGCGTTGTACATTGCCCTTGCCTCTTTACCAATCGCCTGATATTATATAACTAATAAATGATCAGTGTTTACCAAGGGAAATGTTAACGGAACCATCTCGTCGGTTTATAACCGTTAAATCATCATGTAATCGTTGATTTAACGGTTACAAATTCCGACAGAATGGTTCCGTAACGGGACCATAGCATCTCGGGAAAATTAATTAGTAGGAATAGTATCAAAATGTAGTAATTTAGAGGTGTTTATTTGGGATTAGACTTTTTTTGTTTTGTGAAAAAATAATTTCGTTCAACAGAGTTAAATAAATTTTCTTACCTGACCAATACGGTACCAGAGGCGAGAATCGAAGCTTGCAGCAGAGAGGATGACTTGAGGGAAGCTGGTGGCGGCCGTGATCCGGCCGCCAGAGAAGGAAACGCCGCGGCCGTAGTCGGACACGCCGTGCAGGGCCTCCGACCACCATTCGTAGGCGGGGATGCCGAGGCGGGGGATGGCCGGGGCGGAGTTGGCCAGCTGGGATATCTTCTCGTCGAGCGTGAGGCGGGAGACGAGGTCCCTGGCTCTGTCGCGGATCGAGAGGTTCGTCCGGCAGAAGCCGAACTGATTTGCTTGCGGTCCGCACGAGAACGGTGGCTCGCCGGAATCAGCCACGGAGAGGAGGAGGAGGAGGGGGAGGAGTGTGGTGGCGGCGGCGGCGGCGGCTGTGAGGAGAGTGGTCCTCATGGAATATGTTTGCTGAGGGGTGATTTAGAATTAGTGTTTGTGAATGGTTTTTTTTTTTCTTT